AGTACCTCTCTCTTCTGCATGATCAATGCCATTTTGGCTGCATATGATCAGGCACTGAACATGTACAGGTTTCAAAATAGAATACATGGGTTTATTTTATTTTGAAAATTATGTTTCAAACTACACTGTATAATAGAGTGATATAGGCCAAAAATGAAAAAATCCCCCATCAGGTGATGTGTGCAGTAATTAAAAACATAGTTCTTGGATATATAGAGTTACTAAATCTGGACTGCAAAAATCCAGACAACCACTAGATAGCAGCAATGAGATAGAAAAAGCTAATGTTTTGCTGTCATCTAGTGGTTGTCTGGTTTTTTTGTAGCCCAGATCTGGTAGCTCTAATAAAACAGTCACATAGCCAGAACTTTTCTTTATACTGAATAAAATATTATTTCAGCCTAACCAATTCATACCTCTGCACAGGATTCATCAGACACAGAGAATTTGGTACTGGAAGGATAAGAGCAAAGGATAGGTGATAGGTGATCTTGCATTCTATATACAGATGCACTGCTATGCTACATCCCAGCTGGCTGGTTCCCTGTTGTCCTTATAGGTACTCTTCAGAAAGGAGGCCAACTAGGCCCATCCTATGTGAACTAAGCTTCCTCATGTTTTCTTTCTATTGTCCTTAGAAGGCATCCAAACAATGGAAGATTTGGGTAAACATACTCTTGTGGTTTTTGACAAATACCTTTACTCCCAATGTGCCCCTTAGTTAACTAAAGGTTCTCTGTTCCTTTTAAAGAAAAGAAATTCACAGGTATTGACCAATTTCATTTTTCCTGTCTTCCAGAGAATGTCTCCTGTGATTTCCTATTAATGAAACATTAATGATCATCCTGGAATATTGGCAAACCATTAATTTAACTGCCCTCATCCCCACCTCCAGTCCTGCTATGTTGCCTCATTTTGGTGGGGAGGAGGGTTTTGCTGGGAGGGATAACCAAAACCATCAGGAATGCACGCAAAGAGTATATACTCTTACCAGGGTTACCCAAGGTGTGAATATCATCACACCTGCCCAGCTAAAGCAATCAGGTACCTATCTATATTGGGCAGCAGCAATATAGGAAGATGCTGGAGGTAGATGATCACTTCTGTGACAGTGTCAAAGGCATCATTTCATATTATGTAGGAGAAGGCAATGGTAAATCACTTTTTTACTTTACTAAGATTACCACATTGTCTGTTTGTCTATTTATCCATCTATTTCTTTATAGCACCAACAGGGAGGGCACATTCCAGATCCCCTCTCTGAATGTTGGGAGGCACAGTTTCTTAGTGGGAACCCCTGCTGTTTGGAACAATCTTCCCAATATGCCGTTGGCCCCAATCCTTCAGGCCTTTAGAAAAGCAGTTAAAACTGGCTTTTTCCCCAGGCACTTGGGTCAGGATAAGTAGAGTTCCCAGTTGGTGAGTGGAGAACAGATGGTGAAAATTACCAAGAAGAAATGAGAAGCCAAAGCCAAGAAAGACAAAAATCTCAAGAAGGAATAAAGAAACAAGAAGCAATATTACAACAGCCTCTATGCTGTCATCAAAGATGGAAATGGAAAAAGAAAAGCTTTCCAAAAGTTCTCCAGACTCAGAAGCAGGTTCCAACTCAAAGTAGTATGCTAAAGGATGCCAGATAGTAACTGGTTCAAAAAGATCAAAGACAGAAGTATAATGCTGAAAATCTGTACAGTAAGAATGTCAACATCCAAGATACCTTAGAAGATATTCTCTATTTACAAGAACCCCTAATACTAGAAAATGAAATTATATCAGCACTCTGATTA